GGTTTGTGGAGCGATGTTTGACCAGCAGGAAGGTCAAGGCCGAGCATCAGTGGCCTCATGGCAAGGTCCAACCGCTACCCATTCCCATTTGGAAGTGGGAAGAGATCACCATGGATTTCATCACGAAGTTACCAAGGACAGCGAGGGGTGTGGACGCTATATGGGTGATTGTGTATAGATTAACGAAGAGCGCCCACTTTATTCCGATCTCTGAAAGCATATCCGCTGAGAAGTTGGCAGATCTTTATGTGAAAGAGGTGGTGGTTAGGCACGGGGTTCCCGTGTCGGTGGTGTCTGACAGGGATGTTCGGTTTACCTCCAGATTCTGGAAGACGTTTCATGAGGAACTGGGCACTCAGTTTCATTTCAGCACAACATATCATCCTCAGACCGATGGCCAGTGCGAAAGGACGATCCAGACACTTGAGGATATTCTCTGGGCATGTATGTTGGATTTTGGAGGGAGTTGGGACACATATCTGCCACTAGCCGAATTTTCATAAAATAATAGTTACCATGCCAGTATCGACCGAGCTCCATTTGAGATGTAATATGGTAGAAAATACAGGACTCCGGTTTGTTGGGACGAGGTTGGGCACCGGGTTACGGGGAGCACTGAAGTAGTGCTCAAGACTTTCGGGCTTATTCAGCAGGTGCGTGACCGGCTGCGGGTCGCGCAGAGTTGTTAGAAAAATTATGCTGACCGGCGGCGTTCGGATCTTGAGTTCCAAATAGGGGATTTTGTATTGTTAAAGGTATCGCCATGGAAAAGGATTATCAGGTTTCGGAAGAGGGGCAAGCTAGGGCACTGATATATTGGACCGTTCAGGATTTCGGCCCGGGTAGGCAAAGTGGCCTACCGCTTGGATTTTCCGGATGAGCTTAACCAGATTCACAACACCTTCCATGTGTCGCAGCTTCGGAAGTGTGTCGCTGACGAGTCCGCAGTCATTTCATTGGATGATATTCAGGTGGATGAGAGCCTGAACTATATCGAGAAGCCCGTTTCGATCCTTGATAGGAAGACTAAGGTTCTTCGAAATAAGGAAGTAAGGCTGGTAAAGGTGCAATGGCAGCATCGAAGGGGCTCCGAATGGACCTGGGAGCTGGAAGGGGAGATACTAGAGCACTACCCGGAGTTTTTTGGGACGCTAAATTTCGAGGACGAAGTCCAGTTCAAGTGGGGGAGACTTGTAACACCTGTTCCTGGTTTTAGAGGTTATTTATAATTTATAAGGGTTTTGTGCATGGACTCGGTGAGTTGGGAGTCCAACTCGTCGAGTAGGGACATTTAATCACGGACGCGGGATCGGGACCTACTCGGCGAGTCGGAAGTCCCGACTTGGCGGGTAGGAGCTGTAAGAGGAAACCTTAGTTGTTAGGGTTTGCACCCTATATAAGGATCATTATCTGCCCTTCGGGCCTCCCTTAGCACCTTATTATCCCAAAGAAGGACGTTTGCGACCGTGAACCCCCTTGAGTGAGAGTAAGAGCTTGGTTTAGCAAGCTCGGAGTGTTGAAGAAGAGATCTAGAAGAAGGAACGAGAGGGGAAGTAGTAGATCCGGCAGCTACACTGCATTCGGCATCATTTTAAGGTAAAAAGTCGTTACCTTGATCTGTAGATTCTTAGATCTCTCCTCTTTCTAGTTCATTTCCATTTTGGGGCAAATGGAGTCCAATTTTAGATTTGGGCGTATCATTGGGATATAGTTTCAGATCTGGACCTTTTTAGGTCCCTAAAGTCATAAAGTTGCTCCCTTTATGTAGCTTGACCCTTCCCATACACACACACACACACACACCTTGTTGAGAGCATTATATTGACCTCCTAGCATTATGAGGCCTTGCATGCACGTAAAGTTTGCAACTTTACGTGGCATCTGTGATAGAGAAGGTTGGATCTGAAGTTTGGGACTCCAGATTCCACTGTAAAGGACCGAAAACGAAATGGAATAAAGGAACTCGTCGAATCGCCTTGCGAACTCGGCGAGTCGGGTTTACGGCTAAGGGTTTGCAGTCAATGGTGTACGGCTAAGGGTTTGCGGCCATGGGGTTTCCGTCCAAGGGTTGCGGTCGAGTGTTTGGAGGGGACTCGATGAGTCACTCTAGTGACTCGGAGAGTCGACGAGTTAGGCAAGGAACTCGGCGAGTGGCTAGTTATACTCGACGAGTTGAGGTTAACATGGACTGTTAACCTTGGATATGGACCTTGACCAAGGTAGACTATGAGGGTACTGTGGGGATTGTGTTAAGTAAATCACTTGATGATTATAGGCAGCTGAGAAGAAGTAGGGTGAGACGTATCTGACTTCAGCTTACAAGTTCAGCATTCGAGAGGTGAGTCTTCTCACCATACCCATGGGTCTACGCCACCAAGGCCGACCCATTCCATGATAGTTGGTATATTGGTTGTTAGAAACGTGTGGCATGTTTGTGTGATGATATGTGGTAGAGATAGCCTTGTGGCTAGAGGTAGAGATAGCATGTATGGCTAAGAGTGGAGATAGCTTTGATAGCTAACTGTAGAGATAGGCTTTATGACTACTGGTAGAGATAGCTTTATAGCTAACATGGCATATGATATGTGGTAGAGGTACCTTGCATAGTTGATATGATGTGTGGTTGGTATGTGGGGTGTGCTCTGGGAACTCGCTAAGCTTTCAAGCTTACCATTTGTGGGTTTGTTTAAGGTACATCGGAGCCCAAGGGCAAGGGAAAAGCTTGATGCCGCGGCGTGCACTCTCTCGTAATTTTGTGGGACACTCTGATGTTTGGAATAAAAGTTGTATTTGAATTATGTTTTGAAAACAATTATAACTGGATCTCTTGATATTGGAAATGTGTTTAATTATTCAAAAATGAACAAATTTTTTTTGTTAAAATTGGATCGTTACATAAGGATATCCAATTACTTAGATAATTATTCATTTTGTCTTATTTAAAACATTATTTAAGGTAATTATCCTAATCAATTCATGAGATAACATAAAAAACGATTTTATGGATCTGACTGTCCAACACGCCTTGGTAAACAATCACCACGCCGTGTTTGGATGATTTCGCAGGTTAACACGCCGTGGTGGAAGAACACCATGTCGTGTTGGCGGAACAGAATGACGATTATGTTTGCTTCACCTAGTTCAAGTTCAACCATTTTATCAATTTAATAGAAAACTATACCTACGCTATGATACCACTGATGGGTATTATGCAAAACATATAAACCTTGTGTGTGCATGCAACCCTAAAAATTGATATATGTTTTCTCTAATTGAACATACAACTTGAACAACAAAATAGAAACCATAGAACACTAGTGAATAATCAAAAATATAAATAGGGTTATAAGAATCATACCTTTATTGTTATATAGTAATAACAATGCAAATGCTTGTGTTGATGAAGCCTTGAGAGCAAGCTTCACAAATGTCACGCCTCTAATCGTTCACACCCAACACTAGCAAAGGAAGACAATTGGGAGAGAGGAGGGAAGCTCAAAATTTCGGCTAGCTCTTCCAAGGATTCAGTTGGCCAAAAAATTTAGGGTTATTCCCTATTTTTAGTGCAGTCAGGAAACCCTAGATAAGCTCAAATCCAAGATCAACTTAAACCGGGTAATGATCCACCTTTGTGTTTATCCACCTAGGACAATTCTAGAAGCCCTTAGGCTTCAAGAAACCCTCCAACCCATATGGAGGGTTCTAGAATGCCTCTTGCTCAACTATTAAGCAATTACATTTTAGTCCCTACACTGTTAATTAATTCCTTTAATCCCAAAATTAATTCTAGTTTACTTCTGATTAAATATTAAATATTATTACTTCTAATTAAACGCCGGTGAATCCTCAGTATCATCACCATGGGAGATAACTCTTGGTCGACAGTCAGTTATCGCAATAGGAACATCAACGTGCATGGCAATCGTAAGGATCATCAAAGCAGTCAAGAACCAAAAACTAATTACGTAAGGTCAGATATAATCTCCCTCTTTATCACTAATTTTCCGGATTCAGTTCAAGTCGAAGACATTCAGAGGGTATGTGGTCGAGCATGTAGTCGCTTGGGTAAGATTGTCGGAGTGTATATTGCTAAAAAACTATCAAAATTGGGAAAACGATTTGGCTTTATTAGGTGTTCAGGCGATGGTAATTGTAACTCCCTGATAAAACAACTTCGTGAAATATGGTTTGGATCATATAAAGTGTTTGCCTCCCTCCCTCCTTCCCTTGTAAATAATAATTGTTCCCTCCAACCTATTGCCCTCTCCTCAGCAGTCCATCATAATGAGAATGTAAAATCCTATGCGAATGTCGTCCGAGGCCATCCTAATAATACAAGAATCAGCACAAATACGGAGGAGATTATCGATCTTCCTTCTGGCGACTACATAGTTGAAAAAAGACAAAGGGCATGCCTTGTTAAGGCAAGAGATTTTTCCACTCTTCCCAATCTCCGGGTGCTATGTGTGGACGAGGGATTCGATAACTTTGAGATGAAATATGTTGGAGGTTTGTGGGTGCTAATCGAATTCAATTCTAATAATGCTTGCAAAAACTTTATGAATAGTGAAGCTATGGATCATTGGCTTTTAGAAAAGAGAGTATGGGATCGAAATTTCATTCCATCTGAACGATTAGTATGGGTGGATGTTGAAGGAGTCCCTCTTTCTACTTGGAGTAAAGAGTCATTTAAAAAAATCCTCTCTAAATGGGGAAAAATAGCACAGTTAGATGATGACATGGGAGAAGATATTTACAAGAATAGGATCTGCATACTTACAAATATCCAATCTATCATTTCAGAAGTGATCAAAGTACGTGTTGGTGGGATTATACATTGGATTAGAGTCAAAGAAGCTCCGGGGTGGACCCCATCCTTTGTTCACGATTTTCCTGCTCCTGACTTGGCCGAAAGTCAATTACAAGAATCTGAAAAAAACGAAGAAAGGAATGATGAGGCTTCATTGGACCCCTTTGGTATTTATGATGCTATTGAAAAAATGAAAAAAGATGAGGTCAACAATGATATTAATAAAGGATTTAATTGTTGGGGTAATGGCAAAAAATACAATAATAACAGAGAGAGACCTCAGGGGAAAAATGGGAATTCAGTAATGGAAACTTTTTTTCCTCATACTCCTGCTGATCGATGTGCTTCAAGTTTGCCTGCTGCTTCACAGATTCATTCATCTGTTGCCCCTGGACCTGCTGTCGACCCCCCAGCGACTGCACCAACTGTTCCGGCCTCTGATGCTACTCTGAACGCTGCTACTATAGAACCCGCTGCAGCTGAAGAACCTGCTGCAGTAACTGACTCGCAAGCAGCTTTTCCTGGGTCTCTTCAAATTGAAAAAGAAAACTCAAACAAACAAGCTCAGGTTGGTTTCTCAAGTGGTTTTATTCGCATGTCGGGCATCCCATCTATAGATGATTCTCTATCTCATCCACCTAGTTTTTCAAATATCAATCAAGGAGAGAACGATGTTTTCTCAGAGGGTTCTTTCAACACTGACTCAATAGAGGTTGAATCCCGAAAAACAATTGTTGTGGGAGGGAGTATCGGTTTAAATTTGAATTGTTGTTCTGAGCATGTGAAAAATTCTATTCAAGAGGAGCGATTTAATAAAATTTAGATAGGAATTGTTTATCGATTAATATCCAAGGAGCGGGATCTTTTGGGAAACGGGTGTGGATAAAATCTCTTTGTATCAAATATAAGATAAATTTTCTAGCTATTCAAGAAACGAAGAAGGAGCTAATAGACCTTTCTCTTGTTTGCTCATTGTGGGGTAACCTCGCGTTCTCTCATGCTTTTTCTCCTTCTCATGGTGCTTCTGGAGGTATTCTAGTTCTTTGGGACCCAAATATTTTTATTCATAATAAAGTAACCATCTCTGAGTGGTATGTGGCGGTGGAGGGGGTTTCGGCTGTCTCTAGCATGGATGTACTACTAATTTCTGTCTATCCTCCCCAAAAAGACGATTGTAAAAGACAACTGTGGGATGAAATCTCTATCTTGATTTCTTCTTTCTCTGGAGAATGTGTGCTTATGGGGGACTTTAACGAAGTCAGGAGCGAGTCTGAAAGGTTTGGTTCTCAGTTTCAACATGTTCCTGCTATATTTTTTAATCAATTTATTGATCAGGCCGATTTAGTTGATATTCCTATGGGTGGGCCCCGGTATATGTGGAGCAACAAATGGGGATCCAAGTTTTCTAATGTGGATCGTTTTTTGGTCGCTGAAGGTCTTTTGCAGCGCTTTCCTCACCTTATGGGTTTGGTTCTGGAGAAAAACATCCCTGATCATTGGCCTATTGTCTTATTAGACCATCGGGTGGATTATGGTCATTCTCCCTTCCGTATATTCCATTCTTGGTTTGAGCTCGAGGGTTTTGATGATGTGGTTCATAATTCCTGGAACTCCAATATTGTTGAGAATGATTGATCCTTGGGTTATTTTTAAGAAGAAGCTCCAACTTCTCAAATCTAACTTAAGTTTATGGAATTCTAGTGCTCGAGACTGTCTGATTAGCAAAAGGAAACTTCTTCAAGACAAAGTTAAAGGGATTAATGCATCTCTTATGCTTGATGGAGGTAGTGTTGTTCTTCGTAACAAAGAGTTTCAACTATTAAAGAACTGACGGACTTAGATCATCTTTCTAGAAATAACCTGGTACAGAAAGCGAAAATTAAATGGGCAATTGAAGGGGATGAGAATTCTAGTTTTTTTCATGGTACTATCAATTAGAAGAGACGTCAAAGTGCTATAAGGGGTATCATGATCGATGGTGTTTGGGAGGATAACCCTGGGAAGGTTAAGAAAGAGTTCCAAAGTTATTATAAAAATCTTTTCTTGAAGAAAAAAGGAATACGTCCTACTACTAATCCTAGTCTGTTTCATACCCTCACGGATGATCAAGTTCTCATCCTTCAAGCTCCTTTTTCTCGTGATGAGATTAAAAGGGTTGTTTGGGATTGTGGCTCTGATCGGGCTCCTGGCCCGGATGGTTTTTCTTTTGGTTTCTTGAAAAGATACTGGAATCTTATTTCTGATGATTTGGTGGCTTTCATTCAACATTTTCACAGTCATTGCTCTATCCCAAAAGGTTCTAATGCTTCTTTCTTTACGGTTATCCCTAAAGTTCGCGACCCTAAGCATATTAGAGACTTTAGACCTATTAGTCTAATAGGGTGCCAATATAAAATTATTGGTAAATTATTAGCTAATAGGTTGGCGGAGGTTATTAGTTCTATTATTAGTCTGGAGCAGTCTGCTTTTGTCAGAGGTAGAAAAATCTTGGATTGTCCATTTCTTCTTAATGGGGTGGTGGCTTGGAGTAAGTCCTCGAATAATCCTCTTATGATTTTCAAAGTGGATTTTGAAAAGGCTTTCGATTCCGTTTCGTGGGAGTATATTTTGGAGATTATGCAGATTATGGGCTTTGGAAAACTGTGGTGTGATTGGATTATGGAGCTTCTTAGATCTGCTAGGGCTTCGGTTCTTGTTAATGGGTCCCCTACTGATGAATATCAAATTCATCATGGCCTGCGACAAGGCGATCCATTGTCACCTTTTTTATTCATCCTGGTTATGGAAGGGCTTCATGTCGCTCTTCGGAAAGCTCATAATGCAAATGTTTTTCGAGGCATTTCTATTAGTGGGATTGAAATCTCCCATCTGTTATATGCTGATGATGCTGTTTTGCTATCGAATTGGGACCCAATGAATGTTCCCCGAATCATTCTTATCCTGCAGTGCTTTTATTTAGCTTCGGGGCTAAAAATCAACTTACTAAAAAGTAAGTTGATTGGAGTGGGAGTTCCTTTGGCTCAGGTTGAGGTGGCGGCTCGTAAAGTTGGGTGTGCTCTTGATTCTTGTCCTTTTATTCATCTTGGAGTCCCTGTTGGCCAGAACATGTCTCGGATTACTGCTTGGTGTTCAGTTGCTGATCGTTTTCAGTCAAAGCTCTCGGGTTGGAAAGCGAATTGTCTTTCTTCTGGAGGTCGCCTAACTTTGATCAAATCAGTTCTTGGAAGTCTTGGAAGCTACTTGATGTCTATTTTCATGGTTCCGATCTCTGTTGTTAACACCTTGGAGTCTCTTCGAGCTAGGTTTTTTTGGGGTGCTGATATAGGTGAGAGACGCATGCACTGGGTTCGCTGGGACAGGGTCTTAGCCCAAAAAAAGAATGGGGGTCTTGGTGTTGGTAGTTTGTATTCCTTTAATCGGGCCCTGCTCTATAAATGGCGATGGAGATTCTTTCATAATCCAGATTTGATATGGGTTAAAGTTGTAAAGGCTCTTTATGGTCCGGATGGTGGTTGTTGCTCTTTCTCTCATAGAAGAGGTTCAATTGGTCCTTAGAATGGTGTTATTCGGATGCTTGTGCAGCTTCATAATCATGATCTTGATCTCAGGCCTCTTAGTCCTATTAGAGTTGGCGATGGGAATAGAACTTCATTCTGGCACGATGTATGGAAGGGGGATACCCAATTGGCTCTTTCTTTTCATAGGATTTATGAATCTACATCAGTCCGTGATAGGGTGCTTCTCGGTTGGAACTTTGATTGTCTCAGGCGTTCTCCTAGAGGGGGTATTGAGGAGACTTAATGGACTACTTTCACTTCCTTAATGCAGGGAGTTCTTCTTCATTCCATGCCTGATCGTTTGGGAGGGACTATCGATGTCTCAGATTCTTTTACTATTTCTTCTCTCCGAGCTTTTTTAGATAGTCATATGTTACATTCAGGGGGTCCTGAAACTCGTTGGAATAATTGGGTGCCTATCAAAGTGAATATTTTTATTTGGATATTGCAGTCTAGAAGTCTTCCGACTAGAGAAAATCTTTCGCTCAGTGGGATTACTATTGATTCCTATCTTTGTCCTGTTTCCTCCAATACTGTTGAATCTATTGATCACCTTTTTCTCCAGTGCAATCAGTTGATCGACTTATAGACCCGGTTAGCTATTTGGTGGGATGTTCAGCTTCCTCATCTTTCCTCTATTGATTCTCTCCTCTCGTGGTCCGATTCTCTTTTCCTTAAAAGAGGGAAACGACAAGCCTTTGACACTGCTATCATCACTACCTTATGGTGTTTGTGGAATTTTCGTAACTCCACCATTTTTGGATCGGCTCAACCCAGGAAGTCTCTCATTTTAGACGATGTGATTGATAGATCTTTTTTTTATTTCCAGTAGGTATAGAAAAGCTAAAATTAGTTGGACCTCTTGGCTTCATAATCCCCTCTTAGCTTATAATTTGTTGTGATGTCTTTTTTTCCTCTAGCTTGTTGCTAGTTTTTTAATAAAATCTCTGTCGTTCCAAAAAAAACAAATCATTTATTTTGTTTATTAATCAAATAATAAATCAGAAATCTATTTCCAAATATCATCCTGTCTATTTTCTAGTCTTGAGGGCAACCCAAAAGGACTATGCTACTATCAATTTAAGTATATACCAATTATAGTTATGGACTTAGACACCTAATCCAATAAAAAGATCAGGGAAATGCTCATGCATATCAGCCTTGGGCTCCCAAGTCCACTTAGAGCCTTTCTGATGTTGCCACTGAGCTTTGACCAAGCTCACTACCTTGTTCCTCAAGGTCTTCACCTTCCTATCCAGAATCGTCACTGACATCTCGTTGTAATTCAGGCAATCATCGACCTGAATGTCCTCCAAAGGAACTGCAACTATCTCATCGGCCACACACTTCCTCAACTAGGAAACATGGAAGGTGTCATGAATCTGACTCAACTCCTCAGGCATCTCTAACCGGTACGCCACCATTCCCATTTGGGCTACCACTTTGAAAGGGCCAATAAACCTGGGGCCCAACTTGCTCTTCTTCCTAAATCGGATAACACCTTTCCAAGGTGAAACCTTCAGAAGCAACAAATATCCAACCTGAAACTCCTACTCAGAGTGTCGCTGATCTGCATAACTCTTCTGGCGGCTTTGGGCTGTCAGCAACCTCTGTTTGACCTTCTGGATAAGCTCTGCCGTCTTAAGCACTATGTCAGTGCTCCCTATGACTCTTTTTCCGACCTCTCCCCAACAATTAGGAGTCTGACACTTCCTCCATACAGGAGCTCAAAGGGAGGCATGTCAATACTGGCATGATGGATTTTTTTGTAAGAAAACTCAAACAACGGAAGGTAGGAGTTCCAGATACCACAAAAATTAATGATGCAGGCTCTCAACATATCTTCGAGCATCTAAATAGTCTGCTCACTCTGCCCGTCTGTCTGCGGATGGTATGTGGCAATGAAATGTATCCGGTTACCTAATTCCTCATGAAATCCCTTCCTAAATCTGGAAGAGAAGCGACCATCCCGGTCTAAAATAATGGAAGTCGGAACTCCATGGCGAGCCACTACCTCTCGAACATAAATCCCGGCCAATTTCTCTGCAGAAGAGCTCTCACATATGGCTAGAAAGTAAGCACTCTTTGTCAAATGAACAACTAGCACTCTTTGTCACATGAACAACTGGCATGATGGATTTTTTTGTAAGAAAACTCAAACAACAGAAGGTAGGAGTTCTAGATACCACAAAAATTAATGATGCAGGCTCTCAACATATATTCGAGCATCTAAATAGTCTGCTCACTCTGCCCGTCTCACTCAAAG